ATATTAAATGTTGATTTAGTTCGCATCCCTGAAGATTCACTCTTACATAAGGGACGAATACAATAAGCGGGTACCAGATGACCAAAAGGCTACACTGGTTATTGATCAACGTGGTTACAAGTATTTATTTAAGGCAACCATGCCTTTCTTAAGTGACTATGAGTTGAGGTATGTACTTTTACAGTATAATCAGGCAATTCTGTAGGCCTAGTTTCACCAGTAGGCCACTCATCGATTTCATTGATATGATACGTGTTGTTATATTTGATGTAAAATCTTGTATTATATGCCTAACTTATATTATGACCCTCACATGAATCAACAGGTTACTACAACAAATGACACATTTATCGATGTTTGATACGTAATAAAGTATTTCAATTTATTTGTAGAGCCAAGATTTTACTTAACAGGAAAGTGACAACCATTGATCAATCTTCTGGAAATGAGGTTGTGGTTACTTGTGACAACGGCGAGGTGTTCCGCGCGTCACGTGTCCTGGTTACAGTCAGCTGTACAGTTTTACAAAACAAGGGGATTGAAATTAAACCAGAACTTCCTGGCTGGAAGAAAAGAACCATAAATCGATTCAGAATGGCAGATTATAGTAAAATTTACATTAAATTTCCCATAAAGTTCTGGGGAAACCGTGAAATAATAATGCGTACCAGCAGCCATAGAGGACGCTATCCGTTATTTACCAACCTTGAAGCTGAAGGTTCATATTTTTCCTATGCTTGTTAAAATATAAACATTCAGAGTTTTTAATTCTTATATTGCGATCTCTCATCATAGTGGTGGATCCAAGAGTACCAAAAAGGGGGCATGTGCACCCCTGGCAGGCGCAGTAGACGAATAAATTCTAACCAAGTGTAAAACCATTAAGATACGTTGACAATTGAACATATAATATGGTATACCATTATTATATCATTTTAGGTATGTATCCAGCCGGGTCTAACATTCTGATGGCGGAGCTAACAGGTGATGAGGCCAGACGAGTTGAAGCGCTTTCAGATGAAGAAATTCAGGTCGAAGTGGTGACAGTCCTACGTCAGATATTTGGATACTACAACGTTCCAGACCCTATCGATATACTCGTGTCTCGTTGGTCGATGAACCCGCTAACTCTAGGTGCTTTTTCAATTTGGACACCCGAGATGGAGGAAGAGTGTTTTGAAAAGATGATGTCCCGCGTCGGTAACATCTTTTTTGGCGGGGAATACACAAGTGAAGATAACGGATATGTCCAAGGTGCTCTGGATAGTGGGCAACGAGAGGGAAAGAAGATCGCACAATGCCTGAATGGGGGCTCCTGTCCGCAGTGGAATTCTGGTCAGTCTTGCTATTGTCCAGTAGACGTAGCAGAGGAATTTAACTCTGAAACCGTAGCTCACTACAATGCCCAGTCATTCCATCAATCATACCTATGGCTAGAACAATTCTATAGAACTAATGCCTTTAATTGTTATAAGCAAGGGAGTGATTATTACTTGGTTAGTAAATTACAGTGTAAGTTAAAGACAGGATATTCAAGTATGGAATGAGCTACACTTAAACAGGTTACTTTAGTCTTAAATTTAGCTTAATAAAGAGAGAAATAGTAAGATGCCTTGTCAATTCATATTTTCTTTATTTAGGAGACCCAGTTCCGTATTTTTCAATTCTGAAAATATTCATCATCAATGCACGCATTACCACATTACATAGAAACAGGCCTAAACTGTTTTGCAACAGAAAGACAACATAATCGAGGTTGAATATAGACTAGGTATATAAAAAGTCATATACTCTCTTCTCCCCTTCTTCAGAACCCTCCTTTTCGAAGTGGGATAGGTTAAGTTTATAATTTGAATTTTTCTTGACTCATCGGAATCACACTTAAGAAGACTTTGGAAAACCTCTACGTGTCATTTCAAAGGACTGTTTTCGGAAATATCCACACA